CAATTTTACTGAAATTAGAAATTCTACAATTTTCATTGGCTACTGCTGATATGCTCTTATTAAATAATGCCAGTCCTCATCCACTTATACTTGGAAGTAACTTAGGACAAAACCAGGTGTAGCCCTTGCTGAGAACTGGGCATAGCACAATGTACTTAACAATGCAGTCATAAAAATCCAGCAACATCAAAACAATTTAAAAAGAAAGAAGGTCCAGTATTTTGATGAGCATCATGATCAAAAAGGAAGGGGAATAAGTGGGTATTCACAGGAAGAATAGGCAGCTGATTAGAGAAACCTTTCTTGGCTACCTCCTTTACCCAAATTCTCCCATGAGAGACAGAACCTAATGTAATCCCAAACTCCCAAACAAACAAACAAGCAACAGGAACAAACAGTTTAACTCAACTGCGCCGAGTTTACGAAGCGGCCTTTGATATCAATGCAAGAACTGAATTTTATCGCACCTTTGCTGACCAAAGGAATAAAATAAAGCCATCTATTACAATACATAGCCCACTGAGAGGCAGCCTGGAGGAGGGCCTAACCCCACCCTCGCCCCCAGGGTTTGTTTCTACTTAGTCGATTTAGCCCTTCATTATTGCTGCATGCAGTTGATTCTGCTGCGCTTTTTACATCCTCAGCCAGCTTGAAATCCCTACTCTGGGCCTTCATGGGTTACTGTAGGGACCATTAACTAGAGTGAATCAAATACTTTGGCTTTTGTGAGATCCATTACTTGGAGCAAGTGACGACTACTCCAATATTTCAATACTCATTTGCATTCTGCCCGTTCTTGGCAGTTGCTCTGCAACCTACATTCAACAGGGCCTGTCTTTAAATCCATAAAGCACCCTTTGTTTTGGTTGCTTCCCAAGTGCTTAAGGCTAAAGCCCTGTCTCGGTTACATGCTCTGGGCCCAGCTCGCTTTCCTACCTCTGCAACAGGCCTCTTAACCTGGCCTCCGGGGAATCCGCTCCTTTTGAGGTTTCCCGGCTGTTCCGAACTCCTCAGCGAGCTGGTGGGATCCTCCTGGCTGCCTCTGCGGGGTATTTTCCAGGAGCACGCAGCCTCCCCACCATGCTGCTCTCCTGTCTCTCCTAATCTTCCTTTGCCTTCCTCTCCTTCCTGAGGAGCCAACCAAGGCCCCTGCTCTTCTTGAGACTCCCAGGGGAACATGAAGAAAATTCGTCTTGGTCCTGCCCTCTCACCTGAGGCAGCATTCACTCATTCACTCAGAAAACAAATACACTTCCTTTTCTGCACTCTGCCAGATTTATGAAAAGCTCTGGAAATGGAATGCTTTGTTTTTAGTCTAAAATACTGAGCAACAATTGAGGGAGCTTGAACTCAGGCATGGGTAGGGTGGGGTGGGGTGGGGATACAGCTTTACAGTTTCTGACTGAATACCTTTATCACAGAATCAAAGAGAGAGAAATCAGTAAAAGTGTTTTTACAAATAAAACGAAGCATAACATTAGGCCATCTGAGTGTGTTTAGATCCAGGATGGGTTAACCTGTGGTCCCCCAACTGTTTTCCCTGGCTCTAAGACTCCCTCCCATAACATCACTGGTTTTTAGCAGCACCAAGGCTGAAAACTGGTAATTCTGTTTCTCCCCATTTTCAAGCAACACCCACGTACAGATGCACACACAAATTCTAAAACAGGGCAAAAAACGAAAGGAGATCTCCCCAACATTCTCCCGGAGGGAAATGCCAGGCCATGTCTGGAATGAGGCCCTGGACCTAGTGTCATCTCTCTAAAAAAGCAGCCCTCACAGCCTCTGGCCACTAAAAGACTCTCGGCCCTGAGCAGCTGATCAGATCTTAGCCTAATAAACCAACCTGAAGAAAACATTTGCCTCCCCACCCTTATTCTTTTGTTTGCAACAAGAGAAAACCAGTTTCTCAATCTATATGAAAGGGCTGAATAATGAGACAATTATGTGCTTAAAAAGGTTTTTAAAACTACCCCCACCCCCATGGTTGAAATACCTACAGTATAAAACAACCTATTTTACTGATTTTACTTCTCCTCTGTAGGGTCTATTCTGAATTCTTCATGTATTTTCTAAAGAAGCTGAAAGAAAGAGCCGCCTTGAACTTGGGCTACTGAGCTGTATTCAAACAGACGGCATCACTGTTGACATCACAAAATGTTTGAAACAGGCCACATTTCCCTACCTGGCTAGAGCTAGTATGTGAGCAATGAAAGTTTTAATAAATTTATATTCCACCTCCAATTAGCATAATCAACAAGCAGTAACATTAGATCTGGAGGAACCCAACACATCTATATCACTGTGATACTTTAATCCTCTTTTCCCAGCCAAAAAGCATTTGTGACTGTGAGGAACAAGAACTAGTCCCTTACTGCTCCCAGTCACAGCTACTTTTCAAAGAGAGGATAGTTAAGCTATCTTGCTTTATACTGAACTGAAGATTCAGGTCATCCCCCACTCCCACCCTACCCCACCGTGTCCGTGTCATAATCCCAATACAGCACTTAAGGGGCCATTTTTCCAACCCAGCTGCACTCCAGTTAAAAGCTCTCCTCCACTAACCATGCTGGTTATGGGGAGGGGGTATAGCCTAAGTACCCATTGCTCCTAATTAAAAGGCAATCATGCAGCTACTAGGGAGAAAAAATACACAATTATTTTGTGGATTTACTTTCAAAATGTTATCCATCATTACAGAATTTTGCAAGTTGAGGCCAGAAATATTAGGTAATACTGTCATTTTAAATTACATGGGTTTTGCAATAGGTATAGTAGAAGTAGCAGCAATGGACGACCATCGACAGATTTCTTTAGCCCATCTTCCTTAACTATTATTTCATGACATTTTTTTCACACGTCATATGGAAGAAAAACACCGAGTACCTAAATTAATGAATATGGACACTAAAGAACTGTCTTAGAATCTCTGAAACCTGTATGTGTGTTTGCTTTTCCCCCAATATGCAGACATAATACAGAACTGCCATGTATCTCCAAATCTCCACAAATTTTATCAAATATAGGAACATACAAATTTGTTTACTTTTGATACCAAAGGATGGTATAGAAATGTGGGAAGGGGAGTTCCCTTTGAAAAAAGCCCTTGAACTTCATCAAAAGGCAGCACCTGAGTGTAGGGATCCTGCTGAGGAATAAATAGTCTCCATGTAAGTACAGATGGTCCTCTGAATCTCAAGCAAAACTGAATTTAAAAAGGCTTGCTATTCCAAGTGATGTTCCACTTGCCAAATCCTGTCCACTGTAGCATCCATGAACCTGAAAACCCAATTCCAACAGTGTCTGAGGCATGATACGGTGGTGTGTTGCAAACAGAAGAGAGATTTGTCAGACATAATGGCCTTTCCCTCTCCCTCCATCCTGCAGGAATGGAATTATTTTACTATTAGTACAAGAAGGTAGGGATATGCAAAACATTTCCAATCAAAGTATTCCAAAACTGAAATGCAAACTAGGCTGTTCAGGGCATAGAGATGTATTAAGCTTGTAACAGAGTAATTTGTACTACACACAACAGAACTGCTTCATGCTTTGTACATTTCCATAACATGCTCAAAACAGCTGTTTTGCACTCATGATGGTGCCTTTTACACTCAAAACAAGGGGTTTCAAATTCAAGATGCTACGATCCAATACATTAGGGCATATTACTATTTCAACAGCAAACTTCAGCAAATTTAAATATTAGATATTTAGTTTAATAATATAAAAATTAGTGACATGTCATCTTTCATGCTTACTAACCTGATGGAGTATTCTCTTCATTTTCAAGAGCTGAGTTTTCACAGCTGTACAGTCTTGAACCATATGCCGAAGGGTCATTTCATCCAATACCACAGTATTTGCTGGCAAACTCCTTAGTGGGGGATACAAGCTTGATGTTCCATAGCCTTCAAGATGACTAACAAGAGGAGCATCTAAATAGTTGCAGCTCCTGAAACACAATTTTACGGAAGTTAGTCAAGAGCCTTTGTTAAGCCTTCACAGGAAGCACAGACTTCAAATTTCTGTATTAATTTTTTTTAATCCATTCAATGTTGTCTGATTCTCGAAGACTGCCTGGACAAGTCCCTGCAGGTTTCTTGGCAAGGTTTTTTCAGAGGTGGTTTGCCATTGCCTCCTTCCTAGGGCTGAGAAACAGTGACTGGCCCAAGGTCACCCAGCTGGTCTTGTGCTTAGGCGGGACTAGAACTCATGGCCTCCTGCTTTCTAGCCTGATGTGTTAACCACTGCACCAAACTGGCTCTCTATTAAATTAATAGCAATACAATATCATATCTAACTGCTAAAGATCAAATGGATGTTCTCTGTTCTAATCCCTGCCAGATAAACTGCTTTGCTATGACAAAAGAGAGAATCTCCTTTATGGTGGCTTCCCAACTTTCAAGGGTTTCCCTCAAGAGTTCAACTTGCACTGGTGTTACCAGTATTTCATCCTCAGATCAAGCTTTATTTTCCCAGATCAAGCTTTTATTTTCATGTACAATTTTTATTTGTTCTGTTACATTTGTTTTAACTTGCTTCAAATTGTATTAATTGTTTTGTTTTTAATATGATTTTATTCTTGCCTTGTAGGCCTTCCAGTTATCTTCACATAAAGTGCAATTTTAAAAGATTACTAATCTTTGATTAATTGATAAATTATACATATGACTCACTCCCAAAGAAACAGACATACTTTTGTTTTGGATATTGCTTCTATATCCCATAGATCAGGAATTCCCTTGAGAAATCCCACAAGGGTGCTGCTGAAATTCAGTGACAAGCTACTGCATAATGTTGAGTATGAATCCCCACACCTTTTCAGTGAGAAACCAAAGAAAACAGGTTCAGCAATCAAATAAGTGTAAATTACTTACTAAATCTAACCTCTCAGAAACTGTGAAGGGGAAAATAGTTTGTATATCCCAGCATCACCCTACATATGTTATTGTGTAATGCTCCTAACTCTCCAATTCTTGACCACTGGAGAAAAAAGGGCTATTCCCAATCACACAAAGTTTGCCTATTCTAGCAACAGAAACTCAAACCTTAGAAGAGTCATATCTGTTCTGTAACAGTCAAGGGAGAATGCATTTCCTAAGATATAAAAACTGTTGATGGGAGGCAGTAATTAATTTTTAAAAATGCACTGCAGTGTATTACAGAAAGTCGTCCTATACATTAAATTAGGAGAAGAGAAATACCTTATTCTTCAAAACAGAGATATTCTAATATTAGCACCAAGCATGACAAAATCATATCCAGTCACAGGAGTATAAAACAATATTCTGACATATAAACACTAGCTTGGATCCAGAAATACTTTGCACCCTTTGACATACGACCCTTATTTATTTATTTTTATTTATTTACTTACTTATTTATCAAATTTATCTAGCCGCCCATCTCACACACAGTGACTCTGGGCAGCGTACAATAAAACAAAACAGTAAATATATAAAAACAATCATTATTTTAAAAAATATAAAGCAGTCATTATTAAAAATACAAACCATCAAGAACAGGAGAGCGTAAATTAAAAACAATAAAGCCATCTTTATCCCCAGTCCCATGGG